ACAACCGATGTCCTTCTCACTGCTGATCAAACACCAGGTCACTATTACATGGCAGCTCATGCCTATAACTCAGCCAATGCACCTTTTGACAATACAACTACAACTGCAATCCTTGAATACAAATCTGCTCCTTGCAATGCCAACAAAGGGAAGTCCTCAACACCTATCTTCCCACAACTGCCAGGCTTTAATGACACAAGCAGTGCAATTGCCTTCACTTCCAGTCTAAGGAGCCCTTCCAAGGTTAATGTCCCTCTTCAGATTGATGAAAACCTGTTTTTCACAGTGGGGTTAGGACTCATCAACTGCACCAATCCTAATAGCCCCCGCTGCCAAGGTCCAAATGGAACTCGTTTCGCCGCTAGCATAAATAATGTGTCTTTTGTACTCCCAACAAGAAACTCCTTAATGCAGGCCTACTACCAAGGCCAACCTGGAGTCTTTACGACAGATTTTCCACCAGTTCCCCCTGTAAAATTCGATTACACTGGCAACGTCAGCCGAGGACTATGGCAGCCTGTTAAAGCAACTAAACTTTACAAATTGAAATTTGGTGCAAAGGTACAAATAGTCTTCCAGGATACCAGTATAGTCACGGTTGAGGACCACCCAATGCATCTCCATGGACACCATTTCGCGGTTGTAGGGTCAGGCTTTGGTAACTTCAACCCTCAAACAGATCCAGCAAAGTTCAATCTCATTGACCCACCATATAGGAATACCATTGGAAACCCTCCTGGTGGATGGGTAGCCATCCGGCTTGTGGCTGATAATCCAGGTAATACAAGGACATCATGCATAAACATTTAATATATTTAGTTTGGTTTCAATATAGAACAGATTCACAGATATGATACCTCAGATTGACTCACCTGGTCTGAAACAGGGATTTGGTTGCTGCACTGTCACCTAGATTCACATCTCAATTGGGGTCTGGCTATGGCTTTCTTGGTTGAGAATGGAGGTGGCGAGTTGCAGTCAGTACAGCCCCCCCCACTTGACCTGCCTCAGTGCTAAAGATCACCAACATCGGCTCAACACCAATGGAATCTAGTCTTCTCAGTTGATGATGTATTTACAGTTTCCCGCGTCAATCATTAGATATAAATGTCTTTGTTCGCCCGAATCCAGAGATTCATGGATTCTGTAAGATTTTAGAGAAGAAATTAGAAAAGAATAAGGGAAAAGAGCCTTTACAAGAACTAATTATTTTCTCCTCTGTTACGTTCTTGTTAAATTACAGAGCATCGTATCATTCATATACAGATCAATATTACAAATTATTTTGTTCTATTCCCAACAAAAGGCATTCAACTAAGTAAGGGAAAAAAGAACAAAGCAATAATAATAAATAATTCATTCTGTTGTATTTACAAATTATTCCGTTAAAGGTTTTTGCTGCTAGCTAAATGACATGTTGCTGACGTGATGTCTAATAAATTCAAGCTTGCTAACTACATAGAATCTTAAAAAAGATTAAATAATCGAGGCAGGTAAAAGCATGTCATATACACAGCAAACATCTCCACACCTTCAATTTGTCAAAGGACATCTCTTGAATTTTGAAAATATGCAAAGCAGCGAACCAGAGGCTGATCTAACGGACGGTAAAAAGGACTTGTCTTCTTCTATTGTATTTGGATTCGAGTTTTAGTGTACATGTCTATCATTTCCGCGGTGTTTTACATGTCTATTGAGTTTGCAGGGTATTTAGTGGACCGTGGGGATTAGTCATGGTACGCGCAAGCTGACTGAACACCCTACATAAATAAATAAATAAAAAAAGAAAAAGCAAAACAAGGCATATAAATGGCAGACGCAGCAAGTCGTTTTCAAAACAGGAAAAAAAGAGAGGAATGGAATGAGTGAGAGTCTAATACCACCATCGTCATCATCAAGGGAAGCCTCATCATCAACAACAACTTCTACTGTTTCCATCCCTGTATAATCATTCTCCAACGCTTCAAGTCTAGTAATTGCTGCCTTTAAAAAATCAGAACTATCTTCTTGAAATCAACCAAAAAATAAAAAGCTTCAATTTTTCCAATAATAATAATAATAATAAAAAAGAAACAAAGCCCATCTACTTTTGTAGTTCTGAATCAATCAAACATTAATAATGTTGTTAACCATTTTTAAGTTCCCCACAAAAAATAAATTCGGAAGGAATAAAAAAAATAGGAGTGAGAAAAGGATGTTGAAACTCTCATAAAATGGCTAAAAATTGGTTGAGGAGGTTTAAAAATACAAGAATTGAAATCTGATATTATAAGAGCCTTGTTGACAAAGAAAATTCAAGTTGAGAAAAAAAAATCTAAAATCAAATGTTTATAAACTCAATTAAATTTTATCTAAGATTTAATTGAATTTTTAGAGGGTTTGATTGCAAGGAAAATAGATTTTTATGTCAATTTAGGCTTTTATTGAATGAAATTAAAGTTCTGGGATCCAATTATAATTTTAAAGAATTGATTTGGTCAAATCAGGGGCTTAATTGCATAGTTATTAAAGTTTGATGGCCAATTAAAGACTTAATTAAAACAATCTGAAACCAAAATATCCAATTACAACTTTTACGGTGGGGGCTTGATTACAAAATAGTAAAAACATCCGAGGACCATCATTTTGAAATTGAAACGGCGCCGTTGCATTAAGAATTACTGCACATTGCTCATTGTCTTCAAGCAACTGTTTTTGCAGTAAAAAGGGAATCGGTGGAGCTGCAATCAAGGGCATGTCTCGCGGCTTATTTCCTCAACACCATAATGCACGCCGACCGTTACCATATGCTTGCCATAACGCATGCATCCTCTGGCTATAAAAGCCAGAGGAGGGACCAAGCAGAGGAAGGGGGAGAGAGAGAACGATAGAAGGAAAAGAGAGAACAAAGGGAGAAAGGAGAGGGAAAACCAGAGGGGATTGACAGAGGAGAAAAAAGGAGGGGAGAGAGTCGCACCAGCATTGCCAACGCCATCTTCAGCTCATCATCTTCTTCGTCCAGCAGCCACTGCCATTCTCCATCACAACCGCACTAGCACTGCACAACGAAAAGGAGGAGAGGAGAGAAAAAACAACGAGACAGTGAGGGGACGACAGAGAGAGGAGAGCAGAACAGAGGAGGAAAGACGAGAGCAGAACAGAGGAAAAAAAGAAAGAGGAAAGGGGAGAAGAAGGCAGTCTAAAACAAGAAAATACAAAAGAAATAGCACACCACGTATTATCGTCATCATTTTTTCACTGTCTCTAAACAGCATCAACAGAAGGAAGCAATATATATATATAAACAGAGACCAAACCAGTGAGCCAAAGTTTTAGCACTCTTATTTTCGTTGGTCTCAGTTACAAGGTAAGCTTCTCTCACTTTGCATTTTGATTACAGCATGCAGTTTTGTTTTTATTGTTATTGTTTACTGTTCAAGTGGATTATAATGCACTTGAACAGTAATTGTTGCTGTTTACTGTTCAAGTGAATTATAATTAATTCACTTTGGACAGCAAAAAGGAGATTGCATGCGTGATTTCTTGCCAAGCCGGGTCACTGGTTTGGGCCAGTGACCCGGTCAGGCTTGCTAGGTCCAGCCCCACAACATGGGCCGGGCTGGGCCTAACCTGAAAAAAATTATTAAAAAAAATAAAAAATCATATTGTATTTTTATATAACAAAGAAAAATTTAAAAATATGTATCAACATGTATTATGACTTTAATAACCAGTTTATTAAAGTGACGAGAACTAGGTAAATATTTCAAAAATTCTAAAACAAATTATGTTTTCTTTTAATATCTGAGGTTACGACCTTATATGTAAGACGTATTCCGGATATTAAATTATTTTATTGACGTCAAAATTACCCGAATAGATAAGGATTTCCTTACTAATGAGGACTTTTCTTAAACCATAAACGGACTAACAACTAGAAAACACGACAAAACCTTATATTTTACCAAATAATAAAACAATACAGCTTACTTTAGGTAGGATGTATTTGAGGTGCTAATACTTTCCATTTACACAACTAGTCTCCGTATCCGATCTCTGAGACCAGTTAAGGTTCCTAGTGATTAAAATAGTAGGTGGCGACTCCTATTCCATTTTCACACTAATAAAAAACAAGAATTCTTTGTCTCTTCACATTTGTTACATTTATGATTTTGAGGGTGAATATTTTTGTCATGACGCCACACACGTGCGACAAATAAAAAAGTGGTTTAATAAAAAATATTGTAGTTGTTTCTATGGTTATGGTTTTAAAAAAAGGAATGGAATGAGTGAGAGTTTAAATTGTTTGGTATTGTGGCTGTTTTTGTAATTGTGGCTTAAAAAAAGAGTTTAATAAAAAGTATTTTTTATAAGGTTCATTTTAAAATTTGATATGTTTAGTTAAAATTATAGTTAAAATTATAATTAAAAAATAATTTATTGTGTTTGGTTAACATAGTTTAATGGTAAAAATAACTAAAAAAAATGTACATCTATATTTATATACAGAGCCTTGTACTATCCGGGCTTTACTTGCCTGCATTTCTTTTTTGGCATGGCTCCTACAGCTTCGATGCACCTACTTCCCTACCATAACAAGTCTTCATCTCCACCATCTTAGTGCATAATTATATAATTGCTAGCTAGTGAAGGTGAATTAAAAATGCTTTTTAATTAATGGATTAATAGAAAGTTTTCAAATTTTTTGTTGTGTTAATTTTTAGATTCTGGAAATGAAAAATTAGGTAGCAGCACTTTCCAAGAGACACAAGAATGTAGAGGAACTAGCCTTTTTTTCTCGTAGTTGTCAAACTTGATTTGGAGACTAATTTCAAAAGTCAAATTTCAACTGATCTTGTTCTTGCACATCTTCAATACTTCACCATAATCACGTACTACTCTCTATTGAAAAGATTAAAACAAATAAAAGCGACAGAAAATGAAGAAATTATATTCTCTGTATACTTAATGTTTTACAGTGTGTGTGTGTGCGTGTGTGTGTATGCGCGCGCGCATTCAATCTTAAAAATAAGATAAGTGCAATTATTTGAATTTTACACTATAATAAATTATCTTTATTCATCTTCTTCTGATCTTCCTCTGATCTTTCTCCTATGCTTGATTCTATTCCTGATTTTGTTGAGGTTATTATGTTATTCAATACTTTAACACCCTCCCTCAAATTATGAGGAAAAAGACAGACACACAGTTTGTCTCTGAGAAAGTTAAATTGATTTGCAGCATGGCTTTTTGTAAAGACATCGGTAATTTAGTCTTGTATGGAGGTATGCTGACTTTGAATATCATGATTAACCATCTTCTCTTTGACAAAATAGTCAATTTCAATGTGTTTCGTGCGTGAATAAAAGACAGGATTAGAAGCTAATATAATAACACTGACATTGTCACACCATAACCTTGAAGTAGTAGACAATGTGATATGTAATTCTTGAAGAAGCATGCGAAGCTAGTACAATTCAGCAATTGTATAAGCCATGTTTCTATATTCAGCTTCTGTGCTAGATCGAGAGACAACATTCTGCTTTTTGCTGCACCAAGAGATAAGATTAGAGCCAAGAAACACACCATAACCAGTGGTGCTCCGCCTAACATCAGGATTGCCTGCCCATTTAGAGTCACAGTAAGCATGCATTGCCATTATTCCTAGAGTGTAAAGAAGACCAAATTCGACAGTACCTTTGAGATAGCGTAAGACACGTTTAACAGCTATCCAGTGAAGTTCACGCGGAGAGTGCATAAACTGACATAATTGGTTTACTGAGTAGGAAATATCTGGTCTTATGATTGTGCAGTATTAAGGAGCCCCCACTACTCGTCGATATTCAGTTGGATTCTCTAACAGGTCACCAACAGTATATGAGAGTTTGGAGCTAGAAGATGATGGACAATGAAGAGGCTTTGCACCAAGCATATAGGTACTGTTGAGCAAGTCAGTGATATACTTTGTTTGTCGCAAATGTAAACCAACTGGGTTCCTAATTACTGCAACACCGAGAAAGAAGTTTAATTCACCCAAGTCTTTAATTGGAAACACATTCTATAGTTGATCAATAAAATAATAAACTGCTTGATTATTGGAACCTGTGATTATTATATCATCAACGTAGACTAACACAAAAACACGTAAAGTGTCAGAATTGTGTATAAACAATGAATAGTCCATTTTGGATTCTAAAAAACCAAAGTCAATCAACTGTTGTGAGAGACATTTGAACCAAGCTTGAGTAGCTTGTTTGAGGCCATGAATAGACTTGTGTAGATAACATATATGATCAGGAAAGGTGTGATCTTTATAACCTTTTGGTTGTTTCATGTATATGACTTCATTGAGAATACCATGTAGAAAGGCATTGGAAACATCCAATTGTCGAATATTTCATTTTAAACAAGACTGCAAGAGAGAGAATTAATCTGATGGTAGTAGGCTTTACTACTGGTGAAAAAGTATCAAAGTAATTAATACCAGGAATTTGTTCAAACCCCTTACCTACAAGTCTTGCTTTGTAGCGATCAATGCTGCTATCAGGATTTTTCTTTAGATTATACACCCATTTATTCTTGACAACATGTGTATGTGAAGGTCTAGGACAGAGAGACCATGTGTTATTTGCCAGTAACGCATCAAATTCACATATCATTGCTGCTTTCCAATATGGATTGGATACTGTTTTTGTGAAACATGTAGTTTCAAATTCAATGACTATAATGGATAAGACTCGTAGAGGATGTCAGGTAGAATAAAAGGTTTTAAAACCAGGGAACTCTTTAGGCTTAAGACTTCATGTTTGGGATATGGTAACCATCTGTCTAGGCAATACAGGGGACATTGCAGGAGAGGAACCAGGATCGGTTAACGACCCATGATTTAGGGAAGAAGGCAGTACTGGGGATATGGCAAAACAGAAACTAGTATCAGATAATGACTCATGATTTGTGGAAGAAGGTATAGGAATTGAAGTTGCAATTGCAGAAGGTTGCAAGGGTGGACTTTCAGTGTAAAGAGGATTATCGATAGTAGAAGAGTTTGTAATTATAACAGGTGGAGTAAAATTGAAATGTTGTGTATGAGAAATTAAAGGAACTATATTGGAAGAAAGAGTAGTGCCTGAAGACTGGTTGCTCGCAGGAGTGGTAGAAGAGTGACTTTTATCCAAGTAAGGGAAAGCGTCTTCATTAAAAGCAACATGCCTGGAAATAAACACCCTACCTATAGCAAAATCTAAACACCAAGAACCTTTTTGTTGACTTGAATTCCTTAAGAAAATACATTGCTTGCTTCTAAAAGCTAACTTATGGTTTTCATATGGTCTGAGATAAGGATAGCATGCACAACCAAATATACGCAGGTCAGAGTAGCGAGGCATAGTTTTGTGGAGTACAAAGTAAGGTGTTATATTATTAAGGACTTTGGTTGGTAAACGATTGATCAGGTATACTGAAGTGAAGAAGGCATCTACCCAATAACAGTTTGGAAGGCAGGCTTGTGCTTATACGGTCAATCCCATTTCTTGAATATGTCGATGTTTACATTCAACAATCCCATTTTGTGGGGATGTATAGGGACATGTCAAGCGATGAAATATTCCATGTTCAGCTAAAAACATTTAAAACTCTGTTGACAAGTATTCTCTACCGTTATCATATTGTAGTTATTGAATTGTACAGAAGAATAGATTTTCAAGAACTTTATATTGTTGAAATATGGAAAAGACATTACTTTTGAAACGCATAGAATACATCTATGTAAAATGACTAAAATCATCAATCAGTAAAATGTAATATCGACATCCCCCTACTGAAATAACAGGAGATATCCAGACATCAGTGTGAATCAAGGCTAAAGGTCTAGCCGATTGTCTTTGAGAATCACTAAAAGGTAGCTTTTTAGCTTTCCCTAACTGGCAGGAAGAGCAAACACTTGGTTTGCTAGGTGAATCTTTTATTGGGAGGAAAGAAGATAAATAATTTAGAGTGGAGTTGGAAGGATGACCTGGGCATTTATGCCATTGATCCCTAGTGGTTTTTGTCCTTAATTTAGAAGTAAAATAATGAAATTGCTTGTTGCCATTCTTATTCCTATTGATTGGATAAAGGCCATTCTCAACCAGCCCTTGGAGCAGCAGTCGTCTAGTTTTGTTTTCTTTGACAAAAAAAGTAGTTCCAGTAAGTATGAAGTAACAATTATTGTCTAGGCAGAATTGATTAATAGACAATAGATTTGATACAGCTTGAGGACAATATAAGAAATTATTCAAACAAAAGGAATTAAGTGATGTATTTAACAAGGAGGAACTAGTGTTGTGAATCATCAAACCTGAACCATTCCCGACTTGAACAGTATCCATACCATTATAAGGTTGTAGAGTTGTTAAATATGCTGCATTAGCAGTAATGTGAGCGTTAGCCCCACTATCAACATACCAAGTATGTTGCTCAAAAGTATTATTGGCTTCAGCAGCCATTGTTGCCAATTCAGAAGGAGGTCGTCTGCCTTGAAAAGAAAAATTAAACCGCTGAAAACAATCCAATGCAGCATGACCATATTTATCACAGATTTGACATTGTGGTCTGTCATATGAAGGAACACAATTACTATGAGGTTGAATTTTGGAAGTGCCTCAAGATTGTGGTAATGCAAGATTTGACTGGAATTTGGCAGGAATAATTGCAGGTTTTCTTTTTGGATAATGAGATGTTTTTGCAGCAAAGGCAAAACTATGAGTTTAGATTGTAGTGGAAGCTTCAAGTAATGTTTCAAAACTCAGAAGTTCAGATTGAAAATCATCCGAAAACAGATCCTTATCTCTACAAGTAAAATTATAGGACATGATAAAGGGTGTAAAGTTGGGATGAAGTCCTCCAATTAAGAATATAATGAAGTCTTGATCATCTACAGGTTTGCTAGTAGCAACAAGTTGGTCAGCCAACTGTTTAGCATCTTCAAGAAATGCAGAACATAGTTGATTGTCTTAAATAAGAGTCTGAAGTTGTCTCTTAAAAAGAGTAATGCGGGATGCGGGATCTTGAGGTAGATGATAAGAGAGCCCCAAACTTGTTTGGAAGTCTTTAAATTAAAGACAGTAGAAACAACCTTCTTAGAAGTGGAAGCTAGTAGCCAGCTGAGAACACAATTATCCTTTTTGAACGAAATTGCGTAGGCTAGATTAGAAGAATTATTTGGAAGAGTTCTGGTTGGTGGCTCTTCAAAACCATCAATCATACCATTGAGATCATGACTACGAAGAAAAACTTGAAATTGAACACTTCATGGCAGGTAATTATGTCCTTCAAATCTTTGGCTGACTGGTTGTGAATTGGATTGAATCTTTTGGGGTGAAGAGAACAGGGGAAGGGTTGTGGAATCAGATGAAGTCATGGTTGAGAATAGAGAAAGAGTGGATTTTGTGTTTAATGTGCGGAAGCAGGTGTTAACCTATTTTTACTCTGATACTATGAAAAGATTAAAACAAGTAAAAGCTGACAGAAGATGAAGAAATTATATTCGCTGCATACTTAATGTTTTACAGTGTGTGTGTATGCATACAATCTTGAAAATAAGATAAGTGCAAGTATTTGAATTTTAAACTATAACAGATTATCTTTATTCATTTTCTTCTGATCTTCCACTGATCTTTCTCCCGTGCTTCATTCTGTTCCTGATTTTGTTGAGGTTGTTATGCTATTCAATACTCTAACATCCATGTCTTAAAAACTCTCCCTTTAATCTCTCCTGATGAAACCCCAAAAAACCTGCTTCAATGGAAACCAAAACACTTCTTTTGCCTCGCTGACAGTGCTCTTTCTCATCTCTTTCTACATCTCTTTTACTCCTACGGACAACTGCCTTATCAATTGTGGTTCAAACACCAACACCTCTTTTATTCCTACAGATAGCAGAATTTTTGGAGCTGATTCCACTTCACAAGGTTCAATCTTTTCCTCGAAAGGCCAGTCCATTTCACCCAAGAAGCGCTTGAACGCAGCTTGTGCTAGGATGGCTTTATGGATTATACTTTAATCAAACAGAGGAAGGGAACAGAGCTGTTAGCTGTTTTTGTTTACAAGAAAAAAATGTCGGTGAGAGAAGAGCATGGAGTGAAAAGCAGGTGTGAATAACTTTTCACAAACTGAGATCCAACCTCAGTTTTGAGTGAGTTCCATGTCCAATAGAAATGTGATTTAAGATTATCAAATAACTCAGTCTTGCTTTTATTATCAATTGCAGCTACCGCCACAGCCACAGTGCCAAACCGGCAACACCATCGTCGTCATCAAGAGAAGCCTCATCATCAACAACAGCTTCTATTGTTTCCATCCCTGTATAATCATTCTCCAACGCTTCAAGTCTAGTAATTGCTGCCTTCAAAAAATTAGAACTATCTTCTTGGAATCAACCGAACAATAAAAAGCTTCAATTTTTCCAATAATAATAATAAAAAAAAAAACAAAGCCCCATCTACTTTTGTAGTTCTGAATCAACCAAACATTAATAATGCTATTACCTTGGATTCCCAAAAAAAATACAAAAATACAAAAATATACATATCAAAAAAATAAATTTGAAAAGAATAAAAAAATAGGAGTGAGAAAAGGATGTTGAAACTCCCATAAAATGACTAGAAATTGATTGAGGAAGTTTAGAAATACAATAATTAAAATTTGATATTATAAGAGCCCTGATGATAAAGAAAATTCAAGTTGAGAAAAAAAGTCTAAAATCAGATATTTATGAACTCAATTAAATTTTATCTAAGGTTTAATTGAATTTATGAAGAGTTTGATTGCAAGAAAAATAGATTTTTATGTCAATTTAGGCTTTTATTGAATAAAATTAAAGTTCTAGAATCCAATTATAATTTAAAAGAATTGATTTGGCCAAATCAAGGACTTAACTGTATAATTATTAAAGTTTGATGACAATTAAAAACTTAATTGAAAAAACTATCTTGAAACTTTTAACAAATTTCTTTTAAATTTAGGCATAAGCTTTTGACAAATTTCTTTTTTAGTTCAGATAGTTTTACAATTATATAGATTAGTCTAAAATGTTATTTTATTCTCATTCAATTCCTAACTTTAAGGAGAAAAAAGAGAAACTAGCCATATTATAGCAAATGAAAGAGGAAGTGGACGGACAACAGGTTTTTGGCTATGAAACTCGTTGATCTTCGTATTATTCAGTTTATTCTATAAGAAAAAATTCA